AAACTCCCAAGATGAAAAGTCCAGTAATGTCATAACCAAAATACGGAGCTTCAACGTCAACGAAAAATACTACAAGCAGCCAGAGAGATAAATTTAAGTACTAAGAAACCATTGTCAGAATCAAACAAGACCTGACAGCTTCTACGATAAAAGAGAGGGGCTCTTGGAATACGGTATTCCAAAAGGAAAAAGATATAAACTTATAATCAAGACTAATTTACCACAGAAGACTGAGTAAATATTATAATTGAACAGTTTTTGTTGTTCAGTCATCTTCTTCAGTCGTGTCCAGTTCTTTGTGACCCTGTTTGAGGTTTTCTTGGCAAAGACACTGGAATGGTTTGCCATTTCCTTTTCCAGCTCATTTTACAGAGGAGGAATCTGAGGTAAACAGGGCTAAGTGATTTACCCAGCATCACACAGCTAGTGTCTGAGGCCCGATTTGAACTCAGGAAGATGAGTCTTCCTAACTTGAGGCCTAGCACTCTACTACATCACCCAATAATTCACCTTTAATTGAATAGAGACCTTTAAAGCATTTCTCAACTCTGAAATGAAAACATAAGACAAAAGAGAAACCAAAGAGGTACATTTGGAAAAAAGGACTGTAAGATGAAGTGCTAACATTCTAACATGAGAACTGCCTCTTCAGAACCTTAGTGTCTCCAGAGGGTACAAATATTAAATAAATATAGAAAAACAGAAGTCATGGGGGTGGACTGGTTCTGTTCTAAAGGTTTTAAAAAGGGAAAGAAAAATACACTAGTGTAAAGAAAAGGAAAAAGGGAGTGGAACTTATTATTTCTCATAATGGAGGTTCACTATAACCCTCGACTTTTAATACTCTACATTCTATCCTTGAAACCCCAACTTGGTGGGGATGGGGGTAGGGTGGAGGGGAACATGAGGACGGCACATTTCCTGGCTGGTTCTCAGCATTTCAATTTTAAAGAAAGTCACTACACTAGCCATGTTTTTCATTCCTCTCCAGGCTCCACCCCTGAGTCTTTGGACTTTCTTTGCCATTCCTTCTCTTTAGTATCTTCCATTTTCTTTTCAGCTTCTTTTTTATGTGTTTTCCCTCATTAGAATATAAGCCCTTTTGGGGTAAGGACTGTTCTTCTTTCTGCTTCTATTTGTATTCCCAACACTTAGTACAGTGCCTGGCACATAGGAAACACTTAATAAATGTTTGTTGACTTGACTTAATTTAAGAATACACAAACATAGAGAAAGAGGTGAAGGGAGTGGGTTTCAGGTGAGCTACTTTTTTAACTTAAAGAGACAAAGTTTCACCACAAAGTGAAAGAGTAGGGTATAGAAAATACACCAAACTTTAACAGGGCCTCTTTTCTTCACTATCAAGAAGTTAAAAAGAGGAAGCACAAAAGAAATGAAGGATATGTGTGACTGAGAAAACAGATGGGCTACCCAAATGCTACATTGGTATCAATATATTTAAGGAAGCAGAAGAATGCCTCACTGGACTTAAAAATTAGGAAAATCTGGGTTCAGATACTTCCTGACACTAGTTGTGTTACTAGTCATTTAACCTCTTTGGGACAAAGTTTCTTCATCTGTAAAATGAGGGGGTTGGCTTGATGACTTCTTCTACCTCTAATGATACTATGATCCTGCGATCCTATGATTTTCAGGAAAGAAAAAAAACATGGAAAAGACTTGCGTAGAATTAGAACACATAGAAGGATTACAATCTACACTAACAAAGGAAGAACTATAGAGATGAAATAGCATTCATTTAAGCACCTAATTACCTGGTTTTGACCCAGTCAGATAATTTGGCAATAAATTTTCACTAGATAATTTCACTGGATAAAACTCTTATTTAGTACAATACTAAATAAGTAAAGAATCAAAATATGAAAATTCATAGCCTCAGAGTGTCAGCTCTATAACTATCTCTGAAAAAATGTGTAGGGAACTGGCATATCACATTAAGGTTTTAGAGTCCGTTATTGTATCCCTGGGCATAAGTAACATAAACAGTGTCTCCCATACTATGCAATTCAAGGCAACAAAGTAGTTTATCTTTGCAAAAAAGCTATACTCAGTTTAACTACTGTGTTTTAAATCGGGCACTTTGCTGTTTTCCAGCTTCTGTTAAAAATTTGCTTTTAAAAGTGGAAGGGGACCTATTCAGACATCAATAAAAATTTTTTTTAATATCACTAGTAACAAATATCACTAGTAACAGATATCACTAGTAACAAACTTTCAAAGGACTACTGTCAATCTACCTTATCATACTTCAAGTGCCTCATTCTAGCTGTTCCTGGATACAGATAAGTATTGTCTAAGTACTTAAATAGCACACTGTAATCAAGAATCCCATATGTTTACTAGGAATGCAGCGTCATGGTGAGAGAACACGTGGCTGGAAAAATACTGTATAATGTTAACACGAGGAGAAAGGACACATGGAAAATGTAGCAGGATTTATGTCTCTGGAACATTTTAAAATGAATTCAATGCTGAAAAAAAGTTGCTGGACTAACAATCCACTTTATTCACAAAACTTATATCATAGTTCAATGTTGAAAGTATTTCAAAGTAACCTCCATTCTGAAGATATGTCAGAGGCTATACAGACTTTTAAGTCTTTGATGATATTGTACAAAATTCAGTAAATACCATGTCTTCTTTTCACCAAGATTATTTTAATTCTCCCAGTTAGAAAGTTCATATTTTTTTCTAAATCAAAGTGGTCATAAAACAATGGCTAGTTAATTTCAGACCCTAAACAAATGGACAATTCAAACACTAAGTGTTCAAGACAGAACATGATTAAATGCATGAAAAATACAAAGAGTGTTAGTTATGAGAGCTTTGAGGAAGGAGAAATGTCAGGTTTCATGGAGATTAAGATTATTTCAACAGGCAGAAAGAGCAGGGCAGTCTAGCCAAGGTAGAGAATTTTTTTTGTTGTTTTTTTTTTGGTGAGGCAATCCGGGTTAAGTGAGTTGCCCAAGGTCACACAGCTAGTGAGTGTTATGAGTCTGAGGTGGGATTTGAACTCAGGTCCTCCTGACTCCAGGGTAGGTGCTCTATCCACTTCGACACCTAGCTGCCCCCAAACTAGAGAATGTTTAAGGGAACAGTATATGGCCTTTTAGAGTATGTGAAGGAGAAAAGTATGGAAATAATGGAGTAAGTACGAAAGTATGAAAGAATGGTTTGAACCTGCTTGTGGAAGTCCCAGAAAGCCAGGCTGTTTGGACTATTATTTTGTAGGTAGCAGTCACTGAAAAATTTTAAAGCAATGGAATATCCTCATCAATATATAGTCATTAGTGTACTTTCCTCTCCTCTTTTGCAAAGATGTGAGCATCAACTGGAAAGCCTGTGATGAGGATCAAATGAGATAAGATATGTAAAGTACTTTGGAAACTTTAACTACAAAATGCTGGCTACTATTTCCTCAGAATATTGCACATAACCATCAAATGATGCCGATGTGTGGGCTCATTTGAACTGCTTTTTCTTGTTTTCTTTTTAAATGTTTGAGTCAAAAAAGATGGCTTGTTGGGTAGTGAAGGAGGGATGTATTTAGAAATGAAGGCAATACAAAATAGAAAAAAGTTTTCATAAGATTTTTTAAAATATTTGGGCATGAGGAAAATTAATCTGTGTGGACCCACTCAAGGATATACTCTGACACTTGATCAAAGACCTCAAAGTGAGTGGACCAGTCAGTCCTCAATTTCAGATTTTAAAAACTAAGACTAAATCAGCAAAACAAGAAACTCCTCAACACTATGTTACACTACAAGGAGGAAGTAGCTGAATCTAACTAATTCCAGAGAAAAATAGTACTTGTTTATGACCTTGAGTTTCATGACAAAAGGTTTTTAACCTTGCCCGTGAATTTTGTTTTTTTTTTAAATGTTTTGATAACCGTATTTCAATCTAATTGAACCAGTATAATTCGTTTCCTTTGTAATCCCATGTATTTTATGCACTTAAAAATACTATTCTGATAAGGGACCTACAGGATTCACCAGAATGCCCAAGAGGTCCACTACACTAAATGAATTAAGCACCTTTATATTAGAAGAACCTCCCACCCGATTCAGTGAATCAGAATGTCTTCTGGACTTTCCCCAAGGCGGAGAACAGGCATACTAAGCAGAGGTTCATATTCCAGGGTCTGTGCTTAAAAAAGAAAAACTCGTTAAGTGCATTTCAATGTAATTGGTTTCCTTTGTAATCCAGTGTATTTTTAAGGTATTTAAAAACACTCGGAGAAGGAGGTTAAGAATCCCTTTGCTGGTCTCCCAGCAACTGCATCTTCCATTGCAAAGCTTCACCTCCAGCTTCAAGCCCCTCACAAAGACCATACCAAGGAGTTGGGGACTGCACCCAATGCTCGTCACCCTAGCTGCACTCTTTTTGGAAGGTGTCCCTTTCTGTCCTTACGTATCTAAGTCGGCGGTGAGCAGAGGGCCAGCGGGCGGGGGAGGGGCGGGCGGAGCCAGGAGGCCGGCCTGGGTCAGCTCCTCCGCGGTGAGGAGCGGGCGTCCACAGGCCCCGCGACGGCCGAGCACAAGCCTGCTTCGAAGGCGCCATTCAAAGGCTAGGCAAGCTGGCTGCGCTGGGCACACGCAGGCCGCTCACTAAGAGCTTCGTCTGTGCCTCGGGACGACCCGGGGTGACCCCGGCTCGGGCCACAAAGAGGGTTAGAGAAACACACATACGTAAGCACCGGAGGCACTGAGGCCGCAACATGCGCAGACGCAGAAGAGTCCTACCACACTACACCCTCCCACTTCCGCCTCCCAGCGCGCGCTATACCGGGTTACGAGGTCACGCGCACAAAGCGCGAGGAAGTCCCGCCCCCGAGCGTGCTCCGCTACCTCTCTCCCCTCCCACCACCCGTAGAGGGCAGGTCGGGTGTGAGTGGGAGACTAAGTCTAGGGTTAATGATTCTCCATTCATACCTCCCCTCACATATGTATACACACTCCCCCCAATTTGTTTACCTGTGAGCCGGGCGAACCCGGTAATGCTCTCCGGGACTGGGAGTCGCTTGAGGTAGGCGGGGAGCTGCACCTTGACGATGCGGGCCACGCTCTCCAGCACCATTCTGTCTCCAAAGCAGCTTGCCTTCTGCTCTCGGAGCGGGCCCTGACCGCTACTGCGCCTGCGCCGCGAGCCGGGTTGCTTTCCGTTTCGCAGCTGAAGTCGGCTGGGGATCTCGGGGAGGCGGGTCCGTGGCGGGCCCGGAGCAAGGGAGCGGTGAGCTGCCGGGCGCTGATTGGTGGCGCGGCTGATGACGTAAGAGTAAGAAGCGCGAGCCGCCGGCAGAGAAGGGGCAAAGCGGGCCTGGCGATCGGGGAGGGCCGCCCAGCAGGAAGCAGAGGGCCTAAGGAGGAGCACGAGCACGCGTATGCACGTATGTGCTAAAGTGTGGACGAACCGGATTCACTTGGCTGTTTTGTTTGTTTCGACTTGGCGTCTTTCTCGCTGGGGCAGGTGTAGATAGGCGCCCGGGACCCAGAGCTGCACCCTGGTCCTAGAAATGAGAATTGACCGCATCTGACGTCAAAGGTTACGTGTCCCACCACCCCCACTGCATTCCCCTGCGCACCCCGTTGTCGGACAAGGAAGCAAACTTAATTTATTTTGCCATCCCAGAATCGGGTGACGAAATGCTTCCTGTTGCCAAAGCTCCTCCAAGTCAAGTCATCAAGCGCCTATTAAGCTCCTACTGTATATGCCAGGCACTGTGCAAATCGACAGAGATGTAACTAATAATAGCTAGATTTTAAAATGCTATACCATTTTGCAAAGCGCTTTGCATGTGTTGAATCTCATTTGATCCTCAAAACACACTTCGAGGTGGGGTACTGGTGTCCTCTGTATTTTACAGATGTGGAAACTGAGGCCTAGAGAGATTAAGTGATTTGGCCAGAGCCCTCAGCTAGTAAATGTTTGAGGTAGTATTTGAACTCAGGTCTTACTGACTCTGGGTAAGCACTCTTCATTTGGACACAACAAAAGACTGCTAAAGAGTGCATAGTCTAATAGAGGAAGACTGAAAACAAGTGTACAAATAATACAGATGTACAAAGACAGGACAAATTGGAGATAACTTTGGAGGAAAGGCTTCTTGCAGAAGATGGGACTTTAGTTGATAAGGAAGGTAGGCTAGAAGGTGTAGTTGAGGACATGATAAAGGAATAAGCAGGCTTTCTCAAACTATATTTTTCAGGAAACCATGTCATAGTTCCACAGTTGTCAGAAAGATGCAGCAGGGTTTACTGTTGATTATTTTTTTTTAAATCATCAAATTTGGTAGATCAAAATTGTGCTGGGCTTCACCAAGAAGTCTCGTATGTAAATGTTAAAATTATAAAGAATAGATGTTTATTCAGTACAGTAAGTTTTTCCTATCAAGAGGTACAAAATAGAAAAATATATGTTGATCAAAGATATCTGCTACATTATGCAACCAACAGAGTCCAAATGGAGGTTATTTCCTGTAGATGGTAGAGTTCCTCACATTCTTCTGTTTGCAGATCACATAGTTCAGAAATTCCTCAAGCCTTATATCACAGTGGTCATTAATGTATATTTTCTTAGTTTTGCTTTCTCCAATCTCCATCAGTATCTGTAAGTCTTCCCACTTTTCTCCAGATTCCTCATTGTGGAGTCTCTTATATCAGATAAATAAATCACTCTCCCGTAATAGTTCAGTCTGACTTTCCACATAGGAAAAACTAAGCAGATGAAGAACGTCTATTGTGCGTTGACAACAAGCATTTATTAAGCACCTGCCATGTGTAAGACATTGGTGAGTGGGGATACAAGGAAAAAGGAAAAGCATTCTCTGATGGAAAGCCCATTAGGCTGTCACCAATATTTATGTCTCAGATAGATTGTAGATAAAACAAGGAACAGGACCCGGAATTGAACGAGAAAAAGAGGGCAGGCTCTATGGCATTTGACAAACTGCACAATGTTTTTAATGACCCCAAATTTCTCCTTGAAACAAAATTACAACATTCTTTAGATTAAAAATTGTGGAATATCCAAAGGGCAATCAGGAAACAAATGTTCAACATAAGTAGTCTGTAGCTTATTACCATTGCAATTAATTCCATACAGAAAGCAGCGTAAAAGATAATTCGAGGTGGGAGACTCCAGAAGCCAAAGTTAAGGATAAATGGATATCCTGTATGCTGTATTAGTATTCATGCTATGTCAAGGGATCTCAAGGAAGTCCATCATGTAATGATTTTTTCCAGACATGGTAATACATACTCAAATACCCAAGAAAAGGGCTAAGGTATAGAGGAGTTGCAGTCAGCATTAGTGGAGGAAATGTTCACAGCTGATGAAATCATGGCTTCTTGAACTATAAATAGCAAAGTGCATTGTATAAGGTGTTTAATAAATTATTTTAGTGGTCATGCTTAAGTGATTGAGGAGGTGTTAAGGATATAGGACTTGCCAGGTGCATTAGAGTTGTTGAAGTCTAATTAGGGCTAGACTAAAAATGTTTTGTTGAGGTAGCTTGCCATTATAGTCTTAAAAGACTGGACACAGTGGCTTGTTGGAAAGGCATAGGAGGGCATTCTGGGGAGAAAAGGGGTTCTTGAGCAAATTCAATATCTCAAGCCCCCAAATCACAGCTTTCTCTTAGTAAAGGTCTCTGGGCAGTGGTATCTAGATTTGAACTTTGAGATGCTCCAAATCACTAATAGAGATATAAAAATTAATTTGAGGTTCTACCTTATACCCATTAGATTGGCAAAAAGAAAAGGACATGCTGGAGGTACTGCTTTGGAAAATAGGCACATTTTGTAACTATCACACTCAGCACAGTGCCTGGCACGTGATAAGCACTTAAGAAATGCTTGCTAAATGAATAACCACTGATGATGGAGCAGTGAATTGATACAGCCATTCTGATAAGCAAATTGGAACTATGCCCCGTCACCAAACTGTTTATTCTCTTTGACCCAGCAATACCACTATTAGCCATATACCCCCAAAAAGACCAAAAGAAGATTAAGAAAAACTCATGTATGCAGAAATATTTACAGTACCTATTTTTGTAGTGGAAAAAAGATGGAAATGAGAGTATCCATCAATTAGGTATAGCTGAACAAATTATGGTTTATGAATATAATGGAATATTATTGTGCCATAAGAAACGACAAAATGAACAGTTTGAGAGAAGCCTGGGAAGACATGTATAAACTGATAGAAAATAAAGCGGAAGCAGAAGAATAGTTTATACAATAACAATATTATAAATAAAAACAGCTTTGAAAGACTTTAGAACTCTGACCAATGCAGTGATCAAATATGATTCCAAGGGATTGAAGGTGAGGCATATTTCTTGTATTCTGACAGGTGATAAGACTCAAAACACAGAAACATATTTTTGGACATGGCCAGTGAGGGAATTTGCTTTGCTTGACTATACATGTTTATTACAGTAGTTTTCCTTTCTTCATTTTTGGGTTGGGGGGGCAGAATAAATACTTGTTAATTGAAAAAAATTTAAATGTAAACTTTAAGGATCTTCAATCAGTTCATCAGCCCACAAATTCAATACTTTTTTTTTTTAAATTTGATGATTAGGAGTCTTTTTCTTTTTTAAAAAAAATCACCGTGACTTCCAAATATCCCTGTTCCATTTCTTCCCATACATATAGCCCTGCCTTATGACAAAAAACAGTTAAGCAAAGCAAACTGACCACATATGTAGCATTCCACATCTGTAATCTGTTCCCTCTGTATCAGGAAAAAGGAAGAGTTTCATCATCAGTCTTCTGGAATCAGGATTGCGTTGATCTGAATTTTTTGTCTTTAAGTTTTATTTTTTTTTTAATATTACTGTGGTCATTTATCTATATGTTTCCTTAGTTCTGTTTCCTTTAATCTCTGTCAGTTTTTTAAAGTCTTTCCAAGTTTCTCTGAATTCCTCATATTTGGCATTTATTATGGCACTATAGTATTTCATTACATTCACACACCACAGTTTATTCAATCACTGCCTAATTGATGGGCTTTGCTTCCAAGTTTTGTTACCCACCCCATTCCATGCTACTAATGAATATTTTAGTGTACTACATGGAGGAATGGTAATGCTCAGTAATGGTAATCCTGGATAAAAGAATATGATTTGATCTGATTTGATCCATTTACTAATACTTAAGAAAGCATAAGCCTTATTTTAGTATTCAGAGACATGATTTTTTTCTTTTCACTCAGAGATGTTGTGCTAATTCACACACAAGCAAATGTGTGCATACATACTCATAATAGTAAAGCTAACAAAAACGCTGAGTAAAAACTAACCTGAACCTGGACAACTGGCATCAAAAATAGACGTTGGAAGCAGAGGATGGTGACTTAAGTTTATGCTAAGAGTATTGGGAAAAGCTATGTTATCAAAAAGCACATACTGTGTGCAAGGATCCATTTTGAGATAATGTAATAGGGATCAATGATGGGTAATTCTCTGTGTGCTGTCAAGCAAGCACAAGCCCATACGGTTAGGAATTATATTTGTCATGTGGCCGTAGGACTCAGAATCTAGCCTGACTAAGGTGACCAAAGACTTACTTGTGTAATTTACTTAAGTTCACTGATACATTTTGTTTTGAATGAGAAGAGACCATAAAATTTAGCAGGTAATACTAGTTGACTGGTGGGATCTTAAACCAAGTTCTCAAAGGGTTAAAAAGTGAGTGAAGGCAGTGAATGTAGATAGCTTTTTCTAGAAATTTAATTTTGAAAGGAAATAGAGATATAGAAAAATAGTTTCAGAAAATGGCAACGGTAAGGGAAAATTTTTGTTATTGTTTTTTAAGGATAAGGGAGATCTAGGCATGTTTGTAGACTGCAGAGGAGCCTATAAATAACAAAGATTAAAAATAAGATAGAAGAGGACATGAGAATGACTGAAGGAGCAAGGGATGAAGATGGGAGGGGTTGATATCGAGGGCAAAAGCAGAGGGTTTAGCCTTGGCAAGGAGAAGGGTCACATCTTTTTCAGAGATTAGAGCAAATGAGAGAATAGTGAATGCTATAAGGTTTTAGGATGTAAAAAAGAAGAAGAATCTCATGATGGATGTCCTACTTTCTCAGTATAAAGTAGGAGTCAAGATCTTCTACTGAGAGAGATGGGAAAGGGTGATATAGAAGAATTGAGAGGAAAGAAAAGAAGATTTGGAATTGCCACTGAAAATTCT